AAATTGTACTCAAAAGTTTTAAGAAGGTAACAAAGAAGTGTAGAAAATAAGGGGAATTACGAAGAACCATCATCCTAGGATTCGAATACTAGAAAAAGGAATAAATCTGAATTTTAATAGTGGCATTTGCTGATCATGGACAAATCACTTCATTCGAGTGCCATCTATTAGTTCTCCTCTTTAAAATATTTATAATAATACCCATGTCTTTGTGGGTATGTTACAAGAATTATCCAATTGTTAAACTGTAAAGCTCTGAGGAAATTCAAATTCTGCTATAAAAATTGAGTGCATGCTATCACATAAACATGACAGTGAACTGTGCACATGATCCAGGGAAAAATCAGAAAATCTGTTTGTATTTATCTCTTCTCATCTCTTTTAAATTTTGAGTGTTTGTTTAGTGCAATGTGTGTGTGTGTGTGTGTTTAATATATAAAGAAAAGTATACATGTTGGGTGCATATTCAAAAAATTTTTATTAAAATATAGTTAATATACAATATTATATTAGTTTCAGATGTAAACATAGTTATTCAACATTTATATACCTAAAAAAGTGGTTCAACACAATGTCTAGTAACTGTCACCATACAAAGTTATTACAATATTATTGACTATATTCTCTACACTGCATATTACATCCCTGTGACTTATTTTATAATTAGAAGTTTGTATCTCCTATTTCCCTTCACCTTTTTCATGCTTCCTCCGCTACAAAATTTTTATTGATGTTATACACAATCGAAAAATATGAAGACTTAAACAATAAGCTAACAGTGAAGAATTTTTTTAAAGGGGTAATAGTATCAGACCTGTATTATAGAGAGATAACAATGAGGTACATGTAGATGGTATTTTAACAGGGAAAAGGAGAAATCTTTTTTCCAGCTACATTGAGATATCACTGACATATAACATATGTAAATTTAAGGTACACATGATGATTTGATACACATATATATTGCAAAATAATTACCACACTATTTTTATTATGAAAACTTTGTAACAAAGTTCGAAATCAGGAATTGTGATGCCTGAAAAGGAAAAGTATTGCTAGAAGACTGCAGTAGAGAGAAACCTTAGAGTTAATGAAAATTTTCTTATCAATCACATCTTTTTAAAATACTTTAATACTCCCTATATAATTACATCGGGTCATTGTTTTAGTTAGGCTGATCTGTGTGGTACAGATCCTTTGCATAAATCTAATTTCTGAGCAAATATTTTAATACTCTGTGTAAGTTACAAAGATATTATGAGAAAAAAAAGGATCAGTGGAATTCAACTCACAGAACTCTATGAGGAAAAAGTATCCAGAGATGAAATGTTTCTTAAAGAAAATAGTTACAAAATCCTAGAGATTCAAAATCATAAAATGGCAAAGAATTTAGAAATTGACGTGAAGAAATCAACTCTCAGATAACTGTCATGTTGGCAAAAATAAATTAAAACATTGAATAAAATATCTCAATAACCATTATATCTCAATAATCATTATAATTTGTGATTATCATTATTTTAGAGGAAAAGCTGAGATAAAGACAGGATTACTTTATAGGGCCACATCGTTCATCCAAAAATTCCTTTACCAGTTTTACTATTTTTAATTTTTGTGGTTCAAATAATTGTCCCTCCATTCAATTTTTTATTCCCTATCTATTCTCATCTACTTGAAATTCTCATCTTAGTCATCTCACCAAGGCCAAAAGGATAAGGCACTGTGAAACATGATAAACACGGTGAAAGAACCAACGTTAGAAACTGCTCAGCTTGCAAAACTAAGACAGTACCAATTCCCAGGAAACCTAGTCACAAAAGGGACCTAAAACAGTTACACATCCAAATATATAATTTCAGATAGAATATGTTTTTAAAAAGGTATAGTAAAAATCAAAAGGGAGTTTCTAAGATGGGTAAGCTCATTTTGCAAAACAAATAATAAAAATTATAATGGTTAACATATGTGGAGACTTACTTCCAGCATGTACTGTGGTTTACATGCATTGTCTTATTCAAACCTTAAGACAACCCTATGAGGTTGTTTCTATTATTCATTTTACAGAGGAAGAAAATAGCTGGAGCCTTTTGAACTAGGCATTCAGCTCAGATGATGTTCGCTTCCCATCCAAAAACAAGATTTGGGGAGAGAAATAAGCCCTCAGTTAGTCTAGAACTGTGTTTTCCAATATGGTAGCCCACGAGCACTTGAGATGTCGCTGGTCCTAATGAAAATGTTCTCTAAGTGTAAAATATATACCAGGTTTCAAAGATTTAGTACCGAAAAAAAATGTAACATATCTCATTAAGAGTTTTATATCCATTCGGTATTGAATTAATAAAATGTTCAATATATTTAGTTAAATAATGTATATCATTATTTTGGGGGTTATTTTTAAGTTTTTGTGATGTGGTACTAGAAAATTTTAAATTACATATGTGGCTTGCATTATATTTCTATTGAACAGCACTGGTTTAGAATGTGGATAAAGAAGGAATTGCAACCAAAACATAAATAACATCAACAACAATCTTCTATGGTAATCAACAGTCAGGAAGTAAATGGCAGACATAAGGAAGAAAATGATGTCATCTTATACTTTTTTTAAAAAATCTTCTTGGGAAGATTATAAAACAAAACAAAAAAGTACTTCCTGTGGGCTTAGAATCAATGACAATACAGTAGCAAGAAGTACACCCATCTCCCACCTTGGTTTCTAACATTATTTACCTTGAAAAACTGGCAGAAGCAGATAATATATAGGATGAACCTGGAACATCTTATTATACCATAAAGTAAGGTAGTACTCAAAAAACACAATAGGGACACATAAAAGAGACACAGGAGCCAACTGAAAGAGATCCCAATCACCAACCATGGAACAATTTCAGCAAGCAAATAAATAACATAGTGTGGAATTATAACCTAAAGTATAAAATAAATAACCATGAGTCCATAAGAATATTAATACATGATTAAATAAATAAATAAATAGGGGAGAACAGACAAATCTCCCATTCAAAAGAATTCTGCCCCTCAAACAGGTGAAGCATAACTTCCTACCCCTTAGATACAGGCTGCACATGTTGACTTCCTTCCAAAGAGAAAAGTATGGATAATGTGAAAGGAAAAAAACGAATAACTGTACAGGAGGGTAAACCTGACACTAACTCAGGCATGTGATGAAGTTTCATGTCACCAGTGATAATTATCAGTGATGAGTTACATTGACTTCACATTCCCCTGTAATTATATAATGAGAATGACACTTTACCTCTGCAGTCTTCTTCCCTAAGTCTAGTTTGAAATCTTTCAAATCTGTTGGAAGCTTTATTTCCTGGTCCAAGTCCTCTATAGCTCAGCTATTCTAAGTGTGGTCGCCTGTGAGCTTTTTAGTAATACAGAATCTCAGGCCCATCCCCAATGTACTAGTCAGAGTTTCCAGAGAAACAGAAACAATATAACATAGGTGTATAAAAAGAATCATTATAAGGAATTAGCTCATGTAAATATGAAGGCTGGCAAGTCGAAATGTGGGCCAGCAGCTTGGAGACCCAGGAGAGCCTGTGGTGCAAATAAAGCCTGAAAGTAGTCTGCTAAAGGATGCCTCCTTGCTCAGGGAGTTCGCCTTTTTGCTCTATTCAGGCCTTTGATTGAATAGGTCTACCCCCATTATGGAGAGCAACCTGCTTTATCCAGAATTCATCAATTTAAATGGTAAACTCATCCAAAAACCCCCTCCAAGATGACACACAAAATTGACTGTCACAGCAGATCTGATCAATTTTAATCTGCATTTTAAAAGGAACTGCCAAGTGATTTAATGCATATTCAAGTTGAGTGGCATTGCTCTACAAATCTAAAAAGTTTGAATCTTTCCTTAAAGAATTTAAAATTTACATGATAATTTCAGTAACTCAGAAACAAGGTTTGATTCATTGTTGTTAAGTTTCCTAGCATTTACTGATCAGAAGGTTGAGGATATCTTCAGCAATTCCCATCCTCCTTGCAGTGCAAAGGCGACCTTCCCATTTGTTCCCAGATTTCACCAAGCCTCTGACCTGATTAATTCAATTACTGGCTTATGAGTCTTCTCTGGCTACAATGAACTCCCCGAGGACATCTACCACATTTTTCCTTTTATCTCCAGATTTTTATTACCCACGATAACTGAGGAACTAAAGCCTGAGTCCAGGACAGAGGCCCCATATCCATCCCCGCCTGCACCCCAAGGCAGGCCGGCCCATTTTCCTAGTTCCTCTTCCTGTCAGCAAATACCAGGACAATCTGTTTTGAACATTAGCCCTGTGGAGACATAACACACGTGTATCAGAAGATTCTACAGGTTGAATCACATGAAACCGTCGAGACTGGGTTATTTTGACCTACAAAATCGTCCATTTCACAGGACTCGACAATATGTTTCTATTTATTTTCCCTTCTCAAAAGCTAATTTAGAGACAATATGCTATCACAGATAGTACCACGGCTACTAATATTCATGGCAATTTACAACTGAAAACTGAACGTCAAATACACACCAACCACTTCCCAAGTTCGATCCAAGCCCTCCCCTTAATTATGCACGATTCAAGTGCTCACTGTCCACCTCCAAGCTCCCACTTGTTCGCGGTCCCGGAGGCGCGGCCCCTGAGCTTTACAAAGAAGCTAAGGAGGTGAGAGTATCGTTCACACGTATGACCGCCGCAAACCCCTCAGGCCGAGAACTGGCGAGGCGGGAAACTAAACGCGGACCACGCCCCACCAGGCCGGAACTCCCAGAATTCCGCTTTTTCCGCCCCCGCCCCCCGCCCCCGCCCAATCCACTCCAGAGTTGCCAGAACCTAAGATGGCGGCGAGGGCGGAGGCAGTGCGGCCACCTCCGGGCGGGGCCACAGTGACAAGACGTGGCCGAGGGGCGTTGTCAGGCCGGGGGCGGTGCCAGCGGCGCCGCTTCGCCGGGCCAGCGCTGCCCTCGGGCTTCGGCTGTCCGGCCGAAGCGCTCCTTTAGGCCAGTAGGTCGCACACCTGCTCCTCGGAGGCATCATGAGGTCCCCAGTTCGGGGCCTGTCCCCGAGCGACAGCGAGGAGGCCTCGGACAGCACACCCCTCCTGCAGGACGCCCCACGGGCGGAAGCCGGTGAGCAGGGGAGCAGTTCCAGGGGTTTCGGGCGGGCGGCAATGGGGTCAGAGCTGCTTAAGCAGAGAGTCCCCAGTTGGGGGAGAAGCCAAGGCGCGAGGGGCCTCGAGGAAGGGGAAACTATGCAGGGCCCCACGTAGCCCCCGCCCGCCCCGGTGCCCAGAAGCTGCTCCGGGGCGGTAGGGAACCGCGAGGCCAGGCCCGGTGGGAGGCTCGGGTGGGACTTTGGCAAGTGCAGCCCCGCAGGACCTGGACAGGGAGCTGCTGGGTACCGCCGGCACTGGAGTCCTGGCGATTTTAAGGAGTATCGAGCGGGGGAATGCTATGGAAGAACGAACCAGGGGAGAATCCGCAAATCAATGGGCAAAGTGTCGGGTGGAGTACCGGATATAAGAGCGAACTGGAGAAGAAACCTGCATATCCATGGACAGAGGGCTGGACCGAGCCGCTGGCTATTCCCCGCTGTTACTGCCAGGTTTCCACAGCTTCAAGTCAGCCAGCATGTGATCTGGTAGTTCCTTGGGCGAGGATGGGAGACAAAAAAGAACTGAGGTTAACATTTGTGAGTATGCGGAGGGAAATTATTGCATAACTCAGTGAATATCTTGAAATTGTGCAGTAAGAGATTAAAAGTGCTGCGCACTGTTTTTTACATCATGAGATTTAAGTTAGCAAACAGCTTAATTATCCTCCAGATAGCTATAAAACTCTGAGGTAACTTGCCAAAGGTCTTGCAACAAATAGAAAAGGAGGTACTTAACAACTATCCTCCCTGAATTTGGGGAAGTTAAAATATTTTACTATTTGATACTTTTGTAATGTAACTTCCTTAAAAAATAATTAAAACTAAAAAGCAAATCAGTTTGCATGCATTCTATAGTCAAATTCTATAGTCAAATCTAAAGATGTGTGCATGAGAAACAGTCGAATTAGAAATTTGACTTTTCCTGACCAAGAGCAGTATAGTCCTGTGATATCTTTTTTAACATTATCAGATGGCAACAGTAAAGGTGGCAACATTATAGCTGCATCTAACAGCTGGTAGCTTGTTTTAGTAGATGCTTATATAAATACTATACCACAGTGACATTTTACCTGGAAGTTGGACTTAGTTCCATAAACTGATCTTTTCCTGTGGCATATGGTGTTAGATGTCTATAGTCTTCTTCTGTAAAATAATATGGAAATGCAGAAACAATGTCATAATAAAGATATTCTCTAGAGACAAATTTTGTTGTAATTGGGGGAGATTTATATATAAATTTAGCTCAAATGTTAAACATCATTAGTTGTCAAGAAAATGCAGATTAAAACCACAGTGAGTCATTACCCACTAGAATAGCTAAAAATTTAAAAGGCTGAAGATATCAATGTTGGCAAAAATATGGAATAACTAGAACTCTCATTTTGCTATAAGTGTATAAAATGGTACAACTACCTTAGAAGCTGTTTGGCAATTTATTTTAAAGTTATATATACATTACCATAATATAGAAGCTTTACTCAATAGTAAAATACTGAAACAACCTAGATATCCATCAACAGGTGAATGGATAAACAGATTTTGTATGTCCATACAATAGAATACTACTCAGTAATAATAATAATAATAAACTACTGACACATATGTTAACAACCTTTGAGGCTAAAAGTTTTTGAGCCATATACTAGCCAGGAAAAAAAACAGGGCCTGGTACATACAATCTGAACAATCAGCAGCAGAGCTAAAAGGAGAGGACTGACATGTCCACCTTCCTGGTATTGATGGGTATCTTTTATACAATGAGTTTGGGAAAGAAAGATGGAAGTTGTTTTGGAAGAATTTACATTGGTTATATGTAAGTTGGGGGGAAGATGAAGCAGGGCTGGTTTGGGGATAGATGTATAGTCCATAAAGAAGAAGTGTTTGCTGATTTTGGATTGGTTGTGGGCAGCGGTCTGGAAAGTTCATGCATAAGCAAGGTCTGATGCTATCTGGTGGTCAACTATCCCTTGTTAGATAAGATGAAAATAACCACCTGGAAATTGATTTACAGTTTCAACATAGATTCAAGAATGTAAGCAGTCTTTGTTAGTTTCTGCCCACAGTTATATTAACAGATTAACCTCTTTTGTCTCCTCTGGCCTGCTGTAATTTAATTTAGAATTTTTCTCAAAATTTTTTCTATTGTCACGCATAAAAATGTGGTTAAATCTCAAAAACACTGAGCAAAAGAAGCCATCATATAAATGTATGATTCCATCACTATGAAGTTCTAGAATAAGCAAAAACAACCTACAATAACAGAAAGCAGATTAGTGGTTGCCTGAGAGCTACAGGCAGGAAGGAATTGACCGCAAAGGAGCACTAGAGTACTTCTTGGGGAGATGGAAAAGTTCTACATTTTGATTGGGTTTCACAGATGTATACATCTGTCAAAATTCACCAAACTGTATGTTTGAAATGGGTGCATTTTAATGTATGTAAATTATGTGTTAGTAAAGTTGATGGAAAAAGAAAAAAATTAACTCATAGCATTGCTTTTAAAAACAATCCCAGCTTGATTCAGAGATTGAGTATATAGATCTTAGCCCTGTTCCACCTGACTTGAGGTGACTGTCTTCATTATAGCCATTTCCTTTCTTTTTTTTATTTTTACATACCCACTGGAGAGCAAAAATGAAGTAAAAATAACAGCAACGCTTTTTTTTTTT